GTTTTCAGTCTTCTCTTTTTTCGGCCACATATCTTTTCCCTGACCACATTGTGACAGCTGACTCCCCATGCAAAGTGATGTGACACCCACCAGCCACTGCAGAGGATGGTGGCTTTAACCTGGCTGTCTGGAGAGCCTGGCTCACTCTCATCCTCTATGCCTCCCACATTCGTTTTCTTCCTCCTGGGCCAGAGCAGCCATAGTAGAGACCATGAACACAGGGCAGGCCCCATAGGGTAGAACTTCATTTCCAAAGGCTTTGCCTGCCCCCCGACAAGCCGCAGATGAAAGGTGGTGTCGCTCAGAGGCTCCTTCTATGTATGAGACTCTGGCTTTGGAAACCTCCCCTTTAGCCGGTGTCTGAGCTCTGAGCCTGTACCGTCAGAGTCCCCAGAATTGCCTTCAGACCACAGAAGCCCTTGGAGAATACCCCTTCCAAAGCTTGGGATTTCCCAGTCTTGCCTGCCAGGAGCTGCTTCCCTGAGCTCAATGAGTCCCCTTTGGAGGGAATATGTCCCCGCTGCACTTTTAATTTCTCAGTCCCCCCTCCTACCTCTACGGCAGTCATTAAATTCATTCAACAAATATTTATTGAGTACCTACTTGTGCCAGGCACTATGCTTGGACTGCAGGAGAGAATGTGGGGGAGGGGAGGGACCTGGAAGTCCTCTCAGCCAGCCTTACATCTTCAATCATGGCTTGCCCCTCAGAGCATTTCCACATTCTCTCCAATTATTGGCCATTGCCCAGGGATACCCCCCCCCCCGAGGGCCCTGGCTTACGTCTCAGTTACCCCAATGACATATATGCTTAGTTTGCTAAGCTGGTGCTGACCTGAAGACGAGAAACCAGAACAGTGTTTGCCTCTGTGGGCAAAAATGGGACAGAGAGCAGGCAGAGAGAGCCCTGCCCCTGGGGCTCAGATGGGAGATTCAGCCCGCCCCCCAGCAAGAGCGGTGGCCCCCACTCCAACCCCCCTGAGTGCGACAGCTCACTTCCATGCACCAGGTTCTTTTTACTATCTTGGTGGAGAAGCCACAGAACCTCCTTCCCACCCCTTTCAACCGGAGAGCTCCTGTTCTTTCTGGGCCAAGAACTGGAATGGCTCCACCCTCCCTGGGCTACCCGGAATTTGGCTCAGGCCCCCCTGTCTTTGCAGGAACCAGGCATCCTGAGCACACTGGTCACACCTCAGAGGGAGAGTATTTGTTCTGGATTCTACACTTGTCTACAGCCCCTGAATGTGTGGCTTCAGAGCAGGGATGAAGTGACCAGGCTTAGCCTGTGGGCCGGCCAGGGTTTGTCTGTCTCTGTCCCACGGATGCTGTGACCTTCCTTCCATGGAGAGACAGGGAGAGCCACAAGGGGGAGGGGAGCTGCAAAGCTGAAATCTAGGGCACTGTTTCCTCCCATCCTCCTCTTCCTAGACAATATAGATGTTTGTCTTGTCTGTCTTCAACCTACTTTTCTTTTTTTCCTTTTTACATTTCTCATCCTTTCTGTGCTGCCTCTCCACCCAGGAGACCATGTAGCATAGTGGAAAATGTCCTGGAGGGTATCCTGGCTCAGCCCCTAACTCACCATGTGACATTGGACTAGTCCCACCCCCCCTTTGGGGCCTCAGTTTCCCCATTTGCAAAATGAGCAGGATAAACCAGATGCTCTCCAGGGTCTTTTCTGGGTCTGCTGTCCCACAGATCTTCATTTTCTCTTGTTTTGCTTTCTTGGGATCTTTTCCGTCTGAGGGGACAGTAAGTGCCAGGACCTGTTTCAGTTTGTGAATCCTGCAAGCACATTCCAAGACTGGCCTGCAATTGCATGAGCAACATCACTCTAAAGGATTTTTTTTTTTTCTCAAAAGCACTTGCCAACCGACTGCGATGCTGTCCTGTTCCTTTTTACTCACACCCCTACCCCCCTCGTCCCCATGCTCCCCCACCTCAGTGCTCTGTGCTGTATGCGTGTGCTCTCTGTTCTTGTATACTCAATAAAAGTGAAATAAATGTGTATGATGCTGAACCACAAACTGCCTTGGCATCTCTGCTCTCGTTCTCTCTGACCTTAGCTACCAGTACAAGTTGGCATTGTGGGAAGGGCTAAAACTGGGGTAGAAGAAATCCCACCCTTGAACACTTTCATTCAACACATATTTGCGGCTTCCAGTGTGGTCCATGACTTGGGTTAGGCTCTGCAGGCGCAGCAGCAAATAAGACAAAGTTCCTGCCCTCCAGGACCTCTCGGGCTGGTAGAGCACAGGAAACAATACAACAGGCAAGCAGCCAGAGACAATTCCAGAGTGATCAGCACCAGGAAGGAAATGCACAGAGGCAGGTAATGGTTGCTGAAGGAGACCACTTCAATAAGGTGGCCAGTTATGACCTCCCTGAGGAGGAGCTGAATGAAGAGAAAGAGCCAGTAAGGTGAGGGACTTGGGCAAGAATATTCTAGGCAGAAGGAACAGTAAGATGTGGGCCCCAGGATACAGAGGGGCTTGCTGTATGGAGGAACAGCATGATCCCTCCTCTTTCTGAAAGAAGAACACTTACATTGGGGTCTCTTCCCATAACCCTCTCTATGGGAGCCTAGTGGATAATGTATAGAGCAACCCCCAGCTTCAACTTTTGTCCACCACCAGATACATTGCCATACCCTGTATGTGCTACCTGTCCCATTAGTGACTTAGTTATTCAAACAAACTCTGTAAATTATATATATATGTATATATGTATATACATATATATACATGAAACGATACTACTTCCATAAATCAAAACTAGTGTCACTTGCCAAGGAAAGGAGGTCTTCATAAAAATAAATGCAAAGATATAAAATTAAAAACCCATAATCCATGTAAAACTTACTCCTTGGGCTCCCTGAGTTGCATGTACCACACTTTCCTTGCTATTCTACTAAGTGACTCACCTTTCTCTATTGCCCCAAATCTCACAAGTGAGAACCACTGCAAATAATTGGGTGCATTTTCTTCCACTCTTTTTCCAGATATGTGTATCTCTTCAGAGCTTAAGTTATCCGGTACATACCATTCTAAATACTATTTTAAACTTAAATTCTGAGCATTTCCTAGTAATTTTGAATACCAAATACTATTTTTTTCTTTCTAAAGGTAAGTCACTAAATGACACAAAATGCTGTGCAGTGAAGGCAATTCTTCAACCCTCTCCAGACTCCTGTCCATTGTCAGAGGCAATTGCTTTCAAGAGCTTTGTGAATTCTTCCCTGAATTTTTTCCTGTACGTTTCTTTTAGTTATCTGTCACCCATGGAGTTCTGGAATAGGACACGGTTTGCAAATATTGGGTCCCCACACACTCTGGATCTGTATCTTTATCTCCCAGAAATACAGGGTCAGCCTCTGTGTTGCTTGGGAATAACCTGGGGTTGATTAATCTAGATTAGTGGTTCTCAAATGGAGGGGAGGGGAGTGATTTTGCCCTCCGCCAGGGAACATTTAGCAATGTCGGAAGACATTTTTGGTTGTTACAACTGAGGGGTACTACTGGCATTTAGCAGGTAGAGGCTAGGGATGCTGCTAAACATCCTATAATCACAGGACAGCTCCCATAACAAATCCGGTCTGATTTGTCAGCAGTATCAGAGTTGAAAACCTGATCTGGATGGACATGTGACCCATAAGGTGGCATTCCAGGGCCCCCATCTGTAGCTTCCAAGCCCATAATTTAGTGCTGGAGTCTCTGAGAGGATGGTGAACCCAGCTGGTACAGGGACCTCTGGGATTAGACCACGGAGCTCAGCACCCAACACTGGGAATAAGGAGGGTCAGGGAGGAAGCTGAGCTTCTTCGGGCAGGAAATTGAACTGACATGATGGGCTGAGTGTGACATGCGTGACTGTGACTGATGGAGGCCATCTCTGGTTAATCCAGCAGCAGCTTATTGTGATTAGCCATGACTGCAGGGCCTAGTCTAGTCTGCAACCCACCAAGAGATGAGTTTTGACTGAGACAGATTGGTGTGTCCACCTGTCACTGAGGAATTGTGACAGACAAGCTAAGGAGCAGCAGCACAGAGACAAGAATAGCCAGTCAGGCCTTGGTTTGCATCCTAGCTCTGCCACTCTCCAGCTGTGTAACCTCTCTGAGCCTCGATTTTCTCTTCTGTAAGCTGGGAATACTAATATCTACTTACTAGGGTTAGTGTAAGGCTTAGAACTTATATATGAATGGCCTGCCCTATGGATTTTGGACTTACCTAGCCAGTCCTCACAATCATAAGCCAATTCTTTGCAATAAACCTCTTAATATATGTCTCCTATTGATTCTGCTTCTTTGGTTGAACCCTGACTGTTACAACCATGCAGCACAGAGCAAGACCCCCAAATAGAAGCCATTTATTAATACAGTCATTAATTAAACTTGTGATAAATACACACACCCAGCTGAGCCCTTGTGTCTGCCTTCCTGCTGGGTTCCAAGGAAACAATAGAGAACCAGACAGATAAATTCCCTCCCTCATGGCACGTTTGTAGCCTGCACCGCCTGAGGACACGGGATGATTATGGCCATAGGGACCCATGTGGTGGCTCCTGGGGCTGAGACTGGTTCTTCTCCGTCCTGCGGGCTGGGTTTCTGACAATCTCCTCTAGGACTAATTGTGGTTGGAAGCTGCGACTGGGTGGTGATACTCAGGTCGAAACTGGCTGACTGGGACCATTACTAATCATCTGGTGTGGCTACTAGGCAGCCATGATTTTGACCCCAGCTTCAGCGACCATGACTGAGACCAAAGGGCCAGGGCTGGTGGATGTGTTTCTGGAGCAGGATATACATAGTTTGGTGAAAGTTGTTATCCACGGTTCAGGAGCTAAGACGTGTAACTTAAACTACCAAAAGGCAACATTTGATGGGGCGGAACCTGCAGGCGCGGACCGTTCCTCCCGAGACCAAGAGCTCTGCCGGGCCGCTTTCCCCGTAGCTCCCGTCCCGAGCCAAAGCGCGAGAACTTCCGGTGCGTTTCGGCGGTGCGTGAGAGCGGGGAGAGTCCGAAGCTGGTGAGTGCGGCCCCCTGGCCTGCTGGAACTTTTCTGCCTTCGTTGTCTCTGTGGCCCGGCCACCCTTTTCCCGACTCGGGATCGCGGAGTGCCCTGAAGTGGGTCGCCTCGCCGGGACGCGCGCGTCCCGCCCTGTGGGCCGGTGCTGGGACCCTGGTGGCTCTGCAGGCCTTTCTCCCCGATAAACCGTCACCAGAGTCCCCGTCGCCAGTACTTCTTGGGGCACCCGGGGTAACTTCGCTGTTTCCCTAACCTGAGAACTTGGGTGCCGGAGACCTTGGCGGCGCCCAATTTGGTTCTGTCCGACTCTAATTTCGGGTAAGGTAATTTGCCCAAACCGACCCTTTGTTTCTCATCTACAAAGTGGATATCATGTTTTTATTAAATAAATGCTTATCGAGCATCTAGTGTGTGCTGGAGGAGCAAAAACACTCAAGTCTCACGGAGGTGACAGCCCATAAACGTAAAATTGTAGCCTAATCAGGGAAATGGAAAGGTACAGGGTGCGGGGGGAGTGAGGGTCTCATGGGATACCTGACCTAACCCCGGGTCAAGCAAGCTTTAGTGAGGAAGTGAATATTGAGCTGACATCAGAAGAAATGATTTGAGGAAGAGGAGAGGGAAGAGTTTTTTTTTTTTTGTTTTTTTTTTACCCAGGGAGCCTCCTACTTGAGGGTCTGTAAGAGGCCAGTGTGGCTGGAACAGAGAGCTGGGGGGTGGGGGTGGGGGGGATGCATGGTATGAAACAATCAGAAGGAGTTGGGAGAGGCCAGGGAGCCCAGGCCTTGTAGGTCTTATAGGTCAGGGTAAAAATTCTGGTTTTCCCGGAGCCATAAGAGAAGCCAACTCAACATGGCATTAAGTGTGGCTTAGATTGGCATTTTGAAAAGTTCACTCTGGCTCTTGGCTGGAGAAAGGGTAACTTGGAGTAAGGAGGTGATGGAGAGAAGCAGATGGATGTGACTTTGTGCATCTCAGGGCATTTTCTCTGTGCCAGGCCATGTACCAGCTGCTGAAGATACAGTGAAGAGAATTATGGCTGGTGTAATTAGAATAAAGGAATGTCATTATCAAGGAGGAGCACAGATACCACAAGGGAAAATGGCTAGTTGATGAACAATTACTCTAAATGCAATAGCTCTTCATTTAGCAAGTATTTATTAAGTACCTTCTGAATTCAGGGTTGGGAATAAGATGATGATGATGCAAATTATTTAGAGCAGTGGCTTTCAGGCTTTTTTGACTGTGACCTACAATAACTAATACATTTTACCTCATGACCAAGCATCCATACAAACACATAAAACTTCAGAAGACAGTTATTATCTTTATTACTCATGATGCATGCTGGTTTTTTTTTTAATTCTCCTTCCATTAAAAAAAAATTAATGCTGGTTGAGACTCTAAATTGATTTCTTAACCCATTAATGAGTTTTGACTTGCAGTTTAAAAAAAAAAATGCCGATGTAGGGTGAGTCATTTGTCGTGGTTTGGGGTTAAGATGATAAAACATTGCCCCTAACATTTTTGGAACTAGGTTGGCCTTCCTTTCCTCACTGTTTTATTTTGTTCTGTTTGCTTAACATAAAAAAGAGTAAGAAGAATTAAACAGGCAGCTGGTTCTTCAGTTTGTGAAATTTGGGGGTCTTGTTGTTTGTGCATCCGGCTGGGTTGGAAGTGCCTAGAGGTAGTGGTGACTGTCCTACTCTGTGGATGTTTCACAGATCATTGTTTCAGGCAAAGATCTGGCATGGTGCAGGCGCTCAGTGATTATTTGTTAAATTGAATAGGTAAGCGTCTTGGGACTAGAAGGTTAGATAATTGTTTAGATTAAATTAGTTCATTTTGGAACCATTCCTATAAATACCACCCAGGCGGTGTCTGCCTGCCTACACGTTGTGCCACTATGTCCCCATGGATAGTTCAGAGGTGGGTAAAATAAGTGTTCTTGCTCTTTCTCTTCTAAATACTGATCCTAGGCCAGCCATGCCACCTGAATCCATTCTGGGCAAGGGGTCCAGAGTTGCCACTGACTGTAGGCCCTGTGGGAAGTTGTTTCACTCCCTGGACTTCAGGGGTTTTTATGCGTAAAAGGAGAAGAGGAGGTTTGTGGTTTAAAGCTTTCTGCTTCCGAAACATTTTATGAATTTTAGATGTCGAGCACCCACTTTCCACCTTCTGTCCATTTCTGGGCCTTCCTTGAGGCTAATGGGAAACTGGGTATATGCTGGATTTAATCATCCTTCTCAGCTCCTTGGGACTCTTCAGCAATAGGGTTTAGGCAGAGTTACAGTGTGAGGCAGTTTAGGCACAGTTGTAGTTTCGAATAGACCGCCCAGGCTTTCCCCACCTTCATCCTGTTGTGAGAGAGAGATCTGGGAGCAGATCCTGAGCGGACAGTGAGAGGAACATTGGCCTGGAGGACAGGGTACCCAGGTTCTAATTTGTGTGACCTTACATGACCTTGAGCATGTCACTTCTCCTCAGTGTCTTTCTGGCTATGCACTGAGTGTTCTTTCTCAATAAACCAAAACACAAAATCCTCTTCTTCCTGAGTTATTTTCCTCATCAGTAAAATTGATGCAGGGCTGTGGCGAGGATTAAGGGAGATAATTATGTCAAGGGTCTGATTCAATCTGGCACATGCAGAATCCTCAGCAAATGAAGCATCTTTCCCCAAGTTCCAGTTAACTCTGATTTCTTTCTTTTTCAGTTGTTCTGGAAGACAGGAGGGATTCTCTTTTTGGTCACCTAGCGCTGATCCCATGGCTGCCATGCAGATGGATCCTGAGCTTGCCAAGCGCCTCTTCTTTGAAGGGGCCACTGTGGTCATCCTGAATATGCCCAAGGGGACAGAGTTTGGCATTGACTACAACTCCTGGGAGGTGGGCCCCAAGTTCCGGGGTGTGAAGATGATCCCACCAGGCATCCACTTCCTCCACTACAGCTCTGTGGACAAGGCCAATCCCAGGGAGGTGGGGCCTCGTATGGGCTTCTTCCTTAGCCTGCAGCAGCGAGGCCTGATAGTCCTGCGCTGGAATGCCCTCCAGGAAGAGGTAGACCTGACCCCAGCCCCAGAGGCTGAGGTGGAGGCCATGAGGGCCAACCTCCAGGAGCTGGACCAGTTCCTGGGCCCTTACCCATATGCCACACTCAAGAAGTGGATTTCACTCACCAACTTTATCAGCGAGGCCACAATGGAGAAGCTGCAGCCCGAGAGCCGGCAGATCTGCGCCTTCTCAGAGGTGCTTCCCGTGCTCTCCATGAAGCACACCAAGGACCGCGTGGAGCAGAATCTACCTCGCTGTGGCACTGAGTGCAAAAGCTACCAGGAGGGCCTGGCCCGGCTGCCAGAGATGAAGCCCAGAGCCGGGACAGAGATCCGCTTCTCAGAGCTCCCCACACAGATGTTCCCGGCAGGTGCCACACCAGCAGAGATAACCAGGCACAGCATGGACCTGAGCTATGCCCTGGAGACAGTGCTCAGCAAGCAGTTCCCCAGCAGCCCCCAGGATGTGCTTGGTAAGGAGAAACAGGATTCTTTGGGAGTGGACCAAGGGATGGGTATATAGTAGGGGGTACATCTTGGGTTATCTAGTCCAGTGGTTCCTATACTTGGCTAGGAAGCAGGCTTGCCCAGTCCCCCTGGAGACTGATTCAAGAGAGCTGGAGTAGGGCCCCAGCAGTATCTGTCTGTGTGTTTGTCCATATAATAAACAAGCACCGTAGGTGAACCTGATGCAGCCAGTACTGTTTGGGAACCACTGATGTGGCCCAGCCCCTCATTTTATAGATTGAGGTTCACAGAGGGAAAGAATTTGACCAACTATGTGGACGAAGTGAGACCAGAGCCCAGGGCTCCTGGTTCCCAGCCTCCCATCTGCCTCCTCAGTTTTCTCCTGATTCTCTCAAAAGTGTTGGTCTCCACTGGCTTAGACCAGGATAGTGATTTTTTAAAAATTATTATTGTTTTTGTTATTTTTCTCCCTTATTGCAAAAATAATAATATGGTCATCATAGAAGCAAAACAAACAAAAATTCCCTCCCAGTTCTCACCACTTAGAAATAACCATTTTGTACATTTGGGTGTATTTACTTTTCGTCTTTTGCATGTTTATGTCTCCATGTGCAGCATTTCATTGCAGTCTCTTCTCTGTGTATTTCTGTGTATCTCCCTTTAGTCTTTTTTTTTCTTCCTCAATTATATGTGTTTGTGTGTATAAATGATTTTTTACAAAAGCAAGATTACAGTATATTATTTTGTAATCTGCTTTAGCATAAGCGTTTTTCTATGTCACTGAAACAGCCCCTCCTCGATAGTGGCTGCTTATGTGCCATAGTTATTGAACCAGCCCTCTGTTGATGGACCTTTAAGATGTCCCTATTTTCCCTGTTGTGTCATCTAATGAACATCCTTGTGTGTACTTATACATACATTTAGGGTTGAATTGCTGGATCAAAGCGTGTGTGTTGCTAGCTGGGGTGAGGCTGTTGCCCATCACCTCTGAAATGGCGAGTTAGCAAAGGCCTCTTCCAAAGGGATGGTTGGAGAGTGATGTTTCAATTTATATTTCTTTGATTCTAGTGACAGCAAACATTTGTCACGTCTTTAACAGCTATTTATATTTTTTCTTTTACAAATTGTCTAGGTATTTGCATATTTTTCTGTTGGAAGATCAGTGAGAAATTTGAATATAGGGCCCTTCATATCATTGGCTCTCTGATAAAAGGGCACATTTTAATGGGTGCATCTTAATGCATTACACAGTATTATCATTTAATAAGTAACACTTAAGAAATTCTGGCTTAAAAATGAACAGAAATCCTGTTTTCTACCTCTTAAACGTTTCAGTTTTTCAAAGTAATGTTGTGAAAGGTCTGTTGCGGGGATAACTTTGTATCTTCCTGACAGCTCTTTGAAATTACTTCTGATCTCATAACTTAATTTCAGACTAGGCCAGAAATGCATGAATTTAAGTAAATGCCCTAATTTCAGAGAATAAGCTCCTGTTTTCACAAACCAACCAGGTAAAGCCAACTGTAGAAGCAAATCATTAACCTCTATCATAGAAAGGAAATTTGACAATATCTTGAAAATGTCAGTCAAACATCCAATATATCTGGACCAGGCAGCTAGACAAACTTAGTTCCACAAGCCTGGGAATAGAGAACCAGTTTTTCATATCTCTGGAGGTGACAGAGATCAAACGCCATGCATTTAAAGAGGTACTTGGTGTTGAGTGCATCTGTTCTTTTTACGGCACATGTGTAGGTATGACACCACAGAAGCCCTCATTAAATTTGAAGCCAGAGAGAATGTCTCTGATCAGTAGCAGTATATCTTGGCAACCAGAGACCCAGTTGCTTGCCCAAGGACAGTGGCTTCTGGATCATGGCGTCTCTTTGTTTCAGACAGGCATCTGGTGGAAATGTGGGAATAATAATAGCTAATATTTCTTGAGTGCTCCTTTGTGCCAGGCATTATTTTAAATGCTTTATGTGAACTATATTGATTTATTTAATCTTCCCCACAGCCCTCAAATAAGGAAAATGAGGTATAAACAGATTGAGTAACTTGCCCAAGATCACACATCTCTGAAGGGTGGAGCCGAGATTTGAACTCAGGTAGTTTGGTTCCAGAGCTCATGCTATTAGCCACCAAGCTGTTCATAGAGATTAAATCACAGAGCCGTGTGGTTAAACAAAGGCAAGTGATTTGGGCTAGCAGGCTAAGCCTGGAACAAGTACTCACAAATTTTCCTCTTTTGGGAAGCTCTGGAACTGTTCTCACCCAATAGGAATTTTGTTTTATCTTTCCATTATTCCCATTGCCAAGCATTCGATGTGTGACCTTGGGTAGATCCCTTGACCTCATCTGTAAAATGAGACAGATACCACCTTCCCTGAATACCTTGTGGAGTTGGGCTGGGGATTACATGGTGTAGTGCAGCATTTCCTGGCTCTGGAGCAGACCATTTGCATCAGAATTACCCGGGAAGCTTTTTAGGGCTACAGATACTGAGGCTCCATCATCTGTCCTCAACCAGGCTCTCCATGGGGGAGACTTGGGCAGCTTTGTCTTCAATGAGCTCTCCTAGTAATTCTGATAGGCAGCGAAGTTTGGGATCCACCTGACATAATACCCATGGACACATTTTGTAAACTTTCTAAGTGCCAGGCAAATACTAGGTAGATCTCTTCTCTTACAGTCTGATTTTATAAAACCACAGTTTGGTTTTTTGTAGCTTGAGTTTAGAGCAGTTCAGCAAACTTGAACTGAGCATGTACTCAGTGCAAAACCCCACCTAGCAGGAGTGCTCTGCAGGGGGCCACCACCCATTGCTGAGGTCCAGTAGAATTGGTGGCCTCGTAGCATCGGCTGGCACTCCACGCTCTCAGAATCATTCTCCTCTCTGCGCCTCTCAGGTGAACTCCAGTTTGCCTTTGTATGCTTCCTCCTGGGGAACGTGTACGAGGCATTTGAGCACTGGAAGCGGCTCCTGAATCTCCTGTGCCGCTCCGAGGAAGCCATGGTGAGGCACCACACCCTCTACGTCAACCTCATCTCCATCCTGTACCACCAGCTCGGCGAGATCCCGGCCGACTTCTTTGTGGACATTGTCTCCCAGAACAACTTCCTCACCAGCACTTTACAGGTGAGCCGTCTTTTGGCTGACACCCGTGTGGGTCAGAATTACGGCGAGGATGTGTGAAAGCCCCTTCAGGAGGGTTACTTTTCTGTTTTAGTTTCCTAACCTCAGGCTGTTTCCTGGTTCTCTCTTCCACTCAGTTGTAAGTTCCATGGTGCCAGAGACCCTCTCTCTATACCACCATCCGCCTGCCTTGCTCCGAGAGTGCCATGCAGTGGGGTACTTGGCGTTTGAATAACCTCCACCTCTATGAGTTATTCAGCTCAAAACACTTTTTCTTTCTCCCCGTAGCCGTTAAGTTGGTATAACCCAGTAGGACAGAGTTTTGAAGCTTGTTATTTCTAGGGAGACATCTGCAGCTCCTTAGATCTCATTTAAGCATTAAAGTAACTTTGATTTCCTGTTCAAACAAAACGTGCCAGTTTCTGCAGAGATTCTCTGACAGAAAAAGTGAAATTTGCTTTTAACTTGGCAATTAAATTTTCATTATGAGTGGTAATTAGGGAAGAAGCTTCAAACAACTTACAATCTTCATCCTGTGCTATTTCCTCCCTTTGCAAATAGATTAGCTTCCTTTATGTTCCTGGGACAGCCTCTGTCACTCACATTTTGTAACTTTCTCAAGTGTGGAAGAGGCAGAAGCTGCAAGCTGTCAGTTTCCATACTTTTTGTTCCATGAGCTGCTTTTTTCTCCCTGTGTGTGAGACCACAATGAAGCCTGCTCCTTTGAAGGTGGCTACTCACTAACCTACCACTCCCACCCAGGGTGAGAAAAGGAACAAACATTCAGTAAATGCCTGTTGAGTAGCAGGCATCATGTCATCATGTTTGTCATGCTACTTGGGTTCCCTCATTTAATCTCTCTGGAGCCCTTCAAGGCAGGGAGGATTATTTCCTATTTACAAATGAGAACATTGAGACTCAGAAAGGTTAAGTCATTTATGTAAGGTCACACAGCTGGTAAGTGGCAGAGTCAGGATTTGAACCCAGGCCTGAGTCTTGTGATTATGGTCCTGTGTCCTGAATATAGTGTAGATTCCCCCAGTAAGGATTCTTGATTGACATCAGTGGAGACACCGTGAGGGGCTTATTTCTCAGAGGCATGGGACACTTTTCTACAAAAAACATACTATTGGAAGAATCCCTGTAAGCAGGCAGCTGACTTAATACCCTGGCAGTTGGGGGTCTTGTGCAGACCATGGGGAAAGTTGGTCAAGCTGATGGCTTGAGCCTGGTGTGTTCCACTTCAAAAAAAGAAAAAAAAGAGTTATAAAACTTCTCTTTTATTGGTTCTTGACATAAGAGAGAGAAATTAAGTCCCTTCATCTCTCCTCTGAAGGGGAAATACCACTCTACCCCCAACAAGTTCCTGGGTCACATGAGCTAGTAACTGATGAGGAGTGAGGGGGGCATCAGCTTGCTGACTTGCCTCTGGCAATGACCCATGGGAATGATGTGCTACCCTTGTGATGTGCGTTAATGCTGTCACACAAACCTAGGAGGGCCACACTGTGTCATTGGCCGTCCTGACCATTGTCAGCAGAGCTGACCAACAGCTGAGCTCTGATTGCTGACGCTATGTTGCCAACAATGATTTATGAAGCAGAGAGGGCCCGGCTGGATTGCTAGATGCCCAGGTGGGGTGTGCAGAGCTGATGGTTGGAAGAATTCTGTCTGGACTTTATACCAAGAAAATGTGATGTCATTATTTGGAAAAATCCAGGACATGTGCCTTTAAAAAAATATATGAACACATGTTTTTGAGCATCCTATCTTTATATATGATATTTTCCTGAAAGTGTTGAGGGATCTGTATATTAGGGTTCCTGCCCTCAAGAGATTTATTCATTGATTTAGCGGGTATTTGCTGAGCATCTGCTATATTCAAGGCCCTGTTGCAGGACTAGAAATAGAGCTGTGAACAAGACAGAGTCCCTGACTTGCAGCTTATATTTTGGTAGGAAAGTAAACAAATGAATTGATCAAGTCACTCCAGACAGCGTTGTTTAAAAGGCGGTCCTGCCCCGGTACCCTTTACCTGACATGGGCCCTGAGACCCTTTTGGTCTCATCTAGATTGCATCAGTTTGTCAGTTTCCATGCCTACCCGTCAGTGCACCTATCTCCCATGCTGCCGCCTGAGTTACTCTGAAGTGCAGATCTGATACCATTTCTCTGCACCTCCTAATTGCCTAGAAAGTTAAAAGCCCAAACACAGATCACAAGGCCCATTCTGATCTGGCTCCTGATCTGTTCTCCAGCTTCTCCTTCTTCTTGTTTTCCCCTGTCACCTTCAGCAATGGTGGTCTCCTTACAAGTTCAAGGAAATGCTGTGTTATTTCAGGCCTTTTTTTTTTTTTTTTTAATATTTTCATTTATTTTAGAGAGAGAGAGAGAGAGAGCACAAGTAGGGGGAGGGGCAGAGAGAGAGAGAATCTCAAGCTGACTCCACGTTGAGCATGGAGCCCTATGCAGGGCTCGATCCCACAACCCTGAGACCATGACCTGAGCCGAAAGCAAGAGTTGGATGCTTAACTGACTGAGCCAGCCAGGCACCTCCCCCCCCATTTTTTTATCGTGGTAAAAAAACACATAACATGTATAGTATTGGTAACTATAAACACAGCAGATCTCTAGAACTTTTTCATTTGGCACAACTGAAACTTTATGCCCGTTTCATGCCTTCTTAACTGAACATGATTTTCATTCTGTCTGGTGTGAACTTGTTCATCCTACAAGATGCCCTCACGGCATCCCTCTCTGTGAAACCATTCCTGATCCCTCTCCTTTCCATGCTATTAGCCTACTTTGGACTTGTCACAATTATATTACACAGGCTGGGCTTGCTGAAATGTGTACATTGTCGGCCTGACTTCCCCACTAAGCCGTGAACTTTTACCCAAAGCCTGGTTTGTTGTTCATCTGGTTGTTTTCAACACCTAGTCGAGGCTTAGCACTTGTCTCACGTTGTGTTATTGGATATTTTTAGATGGCTAGAGTACATAATTCCTGTGGTAGTGTAAATAGATGGCCCTAATATGACAGGTGTAGATGGTGCAGTCTGATCACTAAAAAGGAATTGGTTAATTCAGACTAGGGTTGCAATTTGAGCAGGAGAGAGCGGATCAGGAGTGACTGTGAAGGGAGGCATTTAACCATGTGCTGGAAGGATGACAGATTTCAACAGGCACAATGTAGAAAGGATATTACAACATTTTTTTTTTTTTTTTAATGGAGAGTTAACGTTGGTACCATCTTGGCAGTGAGAATCTAGCCCCCCACACGGAGGCACTCACTCAGGATGTGTGTGAGTGAATGAATCAGCCCATAAAAGCTTTCTTCAGCCAGCTGCCTGCTCTGCCCCCAGGTAGTCAAGTAAGTGGAACTGGCTTTCTTACTTAGGAGCTTAAATGGCTACTACCCATGGAGAGGGACTGGTGTTTGTATGTGTAAGCACTTAAAGGCTGCCACATTAGCTGGTATAAAATTAGCCACATAATGGCCTCTGCCATTAGAGGACCTTTTGAATAGATGCCACTGGTTTTTATAAATCCCATGGATTTAGCTTGAATAAAAATTACTTGTTTTATAAAAATAGATACAGTTTTTTCTTTTATTAAAAGCAACTTGAGTCACCATAATTTGTTTAAAACCAATGAAAGGATAATCTGAATTTAATAGTATGTTAGAAAATGAGTTATGTACAAAATAAGGATTCTCATTGCTGATTGCATAGCATTTAGGCATATAGTCACATAACCTGTTTTTTTTAAATACTTTAAGTCACAATAGGTCATCTGTGCTTTCCAGCTTCATTTCTTGCCAATATTCTAAATGCCAGTGTTCATCTTTAACTCTTGGTGGAAGACACTGGCTCTGAGTGATGTCTGTAGTATTTTTACCAGAACACCTGTCATGTTCAATTTCACCTACCTACTTGCACACCTTCTGCCGTCAGCTATCACTTTTGCACACTTATTGTGTGCATCATTTCATTTAGCCCTCACCCCAGTGCTCAGAGCTAAGTATTTAATCTCACTTTACAATGAGGAAACAGGATCATAGAGGTTACATGATTTTGCCCAAGATCACCAGAGCTAGTGGATGGCAAGGCTGAGTTTTGATTCTGAAGTCTGTGGTGGGCTCCCATTTATTTTTCCCAGATGAAACATCCCAAATTCTTGAAACCGACCTCAGAAGACATGGTTCCTGTTGCTTTTTGCTCTCCTGGTAATCGTTGTGAAACGATAGTTTTATTTAACACCATTTTCTTCTTCTGCAAGTGGAAATAGAATGTTCTACCTCTGGCTAGTTTCATTCTAAGTTGAATAATCATTTGGGAATTGAAAAAATTAGGAAATTTCATCTTTTTTGTCTGTCCAAAAAATAGGATAAGATAGTGACTCAGCTACCTACCTTGATATTTTGAATTTCTCAAGGTGACCTGACTGAACTCAATTTATTTAACTTGGGTTTAAAAGAAGGCTTTTACGTTTCTGGCTAAAGTAATTTACAGTTTTAGAATATACAGACTAAATGATAAGAATATTAATGCCTTTTTCTATATTTAAAGAAAAATACCCAAGGGGTGTGCTTTTAGTTTGAGAGAAATGCAGTTGTTTGTGAAATGTTGTTGTCTTCTTTCAAAAGTATTTTTAAAATATCCAGGACTAATCTTGCGATATTAAGATGATTCATTTCTCAGTGATGTTAAGAAGCATTTACTCGATTTCACCTTAACAAGTAAAATAAATAGATCATTACCAAGTTTTCTGAAGAAGCCATAAAATTAAAAACAAGAGAACCAAAGTAAATTATTGCTTGAAAAGTAGGTAATGTCTATATATCTTCTTTTCTGAATTATGGGTTTTTAAAATATCAAGTTTGTAAACTATTGGGACAAAAATAGATCACTGGATGCCAGGGGCTTGGGTAAGGGGAGGGTTTGACCACTAAGGGGCAGCACAGGGGAGTTTTTCAGAGTGACTGTTCAGTATCCTGATTGTGATGGTATGTGGGCTTCAGACTCATAAAACTAAATACCAAAAGAAAAAAATTAATACCCGATTATATCATATAATGGTTGCATGGGTGTACACATTTGTCAAAACAAATTGAACACTTAAAATGGGTGAATCTAGTTGTATGTAAATTATACCTCAATAAAGTTGCTTTTTAAAAAAAGTCAACCTGGGCTGTGCCCTGGGTCCTGGAGGCCTGTAGAGGGGACAGTTCCAGAAGCACCTGGTCTCCAAGTACCCTGGCTCCCCACAGGTCAGTGCTGAAAATATGATGAATGTATTAAGTCTGTGTCAAGACAAAAAGAAGGCCTTGGTAGGGACGAAGGATTGAGATTTCCCTACTTGGACTGGATCTCGCTTAACATTTATTACTTGCTTGGCGTTTATCACCATTCTCATCTGTACAGTGGGAATAGTAATTTCCTGTCCTCTTACCTCCCAGGTTTATAGTATGCAGGCTTGTAGTAAAGATTAAGTTGACAAGTTCTTTAAAAAGGACAAAGCACTTTTTAAATTAGAAGCCTTATTTTTCAGACAGAAGGTTTTCTGTTATACCTGCCTCTGGTTGATTTTACTCCCAGGAATCATTTGAGAGATGGGTGGGAAGGATGAGTGATGAGTCTGAGCCCAGCCTGTTCTGACCTGTCACTGCTGGCCCTTGCCAAATGCAGGGCAGTCCCTGCATCTCATTCATATCTGTTCAGTGAGCTTCCTTTGGGCCCTAACTCTGTGCCAGGCCCTGGGCCATATGCTGTGTGTGACATGTTGATAAAAAGGACTCATTCTCTACTCTTAAGGAGCACAGATACTGTGAGCACAGTGTGAGAAATGCCATAGAAAGGTTCAGGCCCAGTACTAGGGGAACAGAGGCTGGAGCAGTTCATTTCAGGTTGGGCTTTTGTAAGAGACCTGTCACAAGGAGTTGGCTTGTGAGCTGGTGACATTCTGGGGCCACCTCCTCCCCAGGATGAGTCCTTTATTTTGTCCAGCACTATCACATAATTATTGAGCAATTATTTGGTGCCAAGGACTTGTGCAAAAGTGAACCAAAAATGGATTTTCATAGAGTCTATGGTCTTCTTCATTCTTTTGCTCATTAAAACACCTCATGGGTCCTTTATGTCAGACTCTGTGCCAGGAGTGAGTATGCAGTAGGAGAAAGAGTCACTGCTTTGGAGTTGCTCCTTGTCTCTTGGGAGAGCTCAACAGTAAATGGACTGTTACCTAACTGAGATTGAAGCTACGTTCGCCGTCACCCTGGGCGCTGGAGGAGCATAAAGGAGCACCTGTGCCATTCTTGGTCTGGGAAGACATCCTAAAGGAGGTGAGGTCTCGGCTGAACCTGAGTCACTAGGAGAAATCAGTAGGCGAAGAAGGTGAAAGCAGGGATGGAAGGGTGTTCTAAGCTGAGGACAGAGCACGTGTGTAGGGGCACAGGAGAAGCAGTAGAGCGTGTTTGGCAGCTGCTCAGCGTGGCTGGAGAGGTGGGTCTGTGTAGGGAGGGGTCCAGTTTACTGTGGAAGGAGGCGAGCAGGAAGAGGCTTTTGCAGCTTCAGTCAGCAGCCTCCCCAGGACCTCAGGACAGACCCAGGGGTATGCAGGCCCTCTGGAACTAACGCCGTTTGAAACAAGGCTTCCCTGCTTCCCGTGCAGGGCTCCTCCCCAGAGCCCCGCTGGGCTGCGCAGTCGGCACTCCAGGGCAAGCTCCGTTAGCTGCCTGCAGACAGGCGGCCGGCTTCCCTGCCGCCCTCCGCCACCGCGCTCACACAGCCCTTCTAATTAGTTATTGATCGGCTGTTGTGTCGTTGCTGTGCTGCCTGCTCCTGTATTTAGTCGATTCCCAAGTTAATGACACCAAATTCTGTAGTCCTCCGCTTGTGCTTCTGCACACCCACAGCCCCCAATCACTTCTGTCCCTGCTACCACTCCAACAGAATGACTCCAAACAAAGACCACTGAAACGAGCTTCACTCCTGCCACCAGGCAGTGGAGAAGCAGCCGTGGAGTACACCTGTTAACTTGGTCAGGTCAAGGCCCCCGGAGCTCAAATTCCTTCCGTGGTGATCTGCAGGCCGGCTACAGCCGGAGACAGATGTGGAACAAAGAGCTTCCCCCACCCTGACGCTCCTGCTTCTGTGGGGTGGTCTGGGGAAAACTACTACTTCCTTTCCTGTTAGTTTTCATCCAGTCATTTAACTCCTCTTAGCCTCCATTTCCATAAAATAGGTATTCTGGTGTGTCTTCCCAGAGCATGGTGAGGATCTGTTGGGATACTCTGAAACTTCTTTGAATTTGAAAACAGTAAAATAGTATGAGAAGGAGTAATGGGTTTGCTGTTACTCTTAGAAGTGATTGGGATCCAGGAAAATCCAGAATGGAGTGGCAGATATAGAGAAAATTACTGCTTTGCCCCCTGTCCAATGTTTATATCAGATGAAACTGAATTAAAAAGAACATCAAAACAAAAGAATATCTAAAGAACTACAATAACTCAACAACAACAACAAAAAACCTGACTAAAAATGGGCGAAGGACTTAATTAGACATTTCTCCAAAGAAGACATAGAAATGGCCAGTACATCTACATGAAAAGGTGTTCAGCATCACTAATCATCAGGGAAATGCAGATCAAAACCACAGTGAGATACCACTTCACACCCATCAGGATGGCTATTATTAAAAAATAATAATAAATAAATAACAAAAAACAGATCTTGCCAATGATGTGGAGAAATGGAACCCTTGTTCATTGCTGAAGGGTGGCTTCCAGGGGTTGGTGGGAGGGGGAAATGGGAAGTTAGTGTGGGTAAAGAGTATCAGTTGGGAAGGATGAACAAATTCTGAAGATGGATGATGGTGACAGTTGCATAGCCATGTGAATGTACTTAATGCCACTGAATTGTACACTTAAAAATGGTCAAAATGGTAAATGTTATGTGTATTTAATTTTTAAAATGATAATGTAAAAAATGGTTAAAATGGTGGGTTTTGTATTATGTACGTGTTAACCACAACTTTATTTTTTTTTTTTTAAGAGAGAGAGTGCATGTGCACGAATGGGGGGCGGTGCAGAAGGAGAGGGAGAGAGAATCCTAAGCAGGCTCGCGTCCAGCATGAAGCCCGATGTGGGGCTCTGTCTCACAACCCTGAGATCATGACCTGAGCCAAAATCAAGAGTTGGATGTTTAACGTACTGAGCCACCCAGGTGCCCCTATAACCACAATTTTAAAAGAAGAACATCAAAGACAACTTTCAAGGGGAATAGAAACTTCTGACTGGCAGCCTGTGGCCCATGAAGATTAGAGCAACAGTTCAGCCTTGTTGGCCTAGGGCCTGGGACTTTATGGGCTGCAGGGGCTTATAAGCCCTCCAAGCCCTCCAAGCCTTTCTTAGTACCAACTGGTGTAGTTATAGCCCAGGTACCCAGGAGAGCTCCCCAGGGGACTGGGCCAGGGTGATAGCCCCCCTGGCCTTACTCTCAATGGGGCATCTCTGCCCAAGATAGTAATTTTCCATTCTAGTCCTGCCCCAGCTTCTCAGCTGGGTTTGGACCTTCTTTCTTGGTTTGGGGGGAACACAGCAGGTGTCCTGGGCCTGTGCCAGCAGCAGCTGATCCACCCGCCCCAGAGAGCTGAACACCATGAGGAAATTTCCACAGCTTTCTGGGCCCCCTCTGTGTTCTCAGGAGTGACTTATCCTCTGTTCTCTGTAGGTTTTCTTTTCCTCCGCCTGCAGCGTTGCCGTGGATGCCACCCTGAGGCAGAAAGCTGAAAAGTTCCAAGCTCACCTGACCAAGAAGTTTCGGTGGGACTTTGAGGCAGAGCCAGAGGACTGCGCTCCAGTGGTGGTGGAGCTCCCTGAGGGAGTAGAGACTGGCTAACTGGGAATACTGTCGGCCAGGGGCGGTCCCTTCCCCCACGGCTGCCGTGCTGGCCTCTCCATTCACCCCTTCCTTCTGGGACCTGCGGGGGTAGCGGCCCCACCAGGTGCTGCAAAGATAGAGCCAGAATTCCCTCTTTCACCAATAAATAAGTTTCTTCAGTGCCCAACAGGCAGTATGCATCCTGAAGGCACAATCATGGGTTCCCGTCAGGGGAAGGCTAACCTGACCAGATTCCAGCTCTTTCAGAAGCTCTCGGGAGAGACCTGCCTCAGCAGCACCCTACTTCCTTCCAGAGGAGAAGAATGTGAGCCAGTAGCCTAAGAAAACTGATTGTTTATTCCATAGGATGGTTAGAAAACAAGAAACCCTGGACTGCACAGTGTCTGATCAGTTGGTGATTTAAAAGTTAAACCGGATGGTAGGGAGATGAGCTAGAATTTCTGTCTGTCCTTGTTGAATGGGAACACATCACAGAAGACACGGGCGTGGGACCTCTCAGGAGCTCCAGACTGGGCAGAAGGGACCCAGAAGACAATTGGGTTGAATCTGACAAGTGGGCAGTTTTGGCATTCTCCAAATAAGTCCCTTCCTTCTGTCTAGAGGTCCCAGTGGGTAGTTGTCCAAGACTGTTGTGGCTTCTGACCTCAAGGGCCTTCCCAATGCCACGTCTCTCCCATCTGTTCCATTCTGAGGCCTCAGACCCAGAGGTGAGACTTGGCAACCCTTCCATATGGCCCCATTCCTCACCGGAGTCACCATGACTCTTTCCGATGACCTGGAGATTCAACAACAAAGAGACAGGTTCTTGCTCTGGAGAGGCTTGTTTGGCCCCGTTGAAGTTCTGTGCCTTTATTCGGGGCTCTGGAGATGACCTGGCCAACCTAGATCTTCCCAGTCCTGCTGTGGAGCTGTCAGCCACAGGACTAATGATGCTCCCATTTCCTCGGAGTCCCGAGGGCGTGCCCGTCACACACAGGTTCTGCCACCCTGACCACAAACCACTGCACTACAAGGGTCCCTGTGCCATTCTTTTCCAAGGTGCGGCTCAGACAGGTTTCTGAATGAGAATCCATGCTGGTTAAGACTTTTGGTTCCACTTGTTTCCTTGGAGTTGTTTTTCCAAGAGCATAATGTACATTAAAGTCTTTGAGTTGAGACTAAATCCCCTTGTGTGAATCTCTCTTGCAGTTAATTTGCCCACTTCTCAGCTGCCAGGCCACTGTCCACAGACAGACTTCTCCCTACTGAGCGCCAGGCGACCCTGCCTGATGTCTTCAGTCTCTGGAGGAGGCAAGCACCCAGTGTTACCTGGGGCCTCCGAGATAGGCATACCTGAAGGAAGGATTGAGGCCCTGAGGCTTTGTAATAATCAGAAGTTGTTCTCTTCCTCCTGAACCCCACTCATCACAACTACTTGGGAAGCTTGTTACAAGTGCACATTCCAAAGGAAGGAATTCCTGATCTAAGCTACAACATGGATGAACCCTTGAAAACGTCGTGCTGAGTGAACGAAGCCAGACCCAGACCCCATGTTACATGAGTGCATTCATATGGATTGTCCAGCATAGATCCACAGGGAGGGAAGTTAGTGGTTGCCAGGGACTAGGAGAGCGGGGAATAGGGTTGACTGCTAACGGCTACAGGGTTTCTTTCTGAGGTGATGGAAAGGTTCTGGAATTAGTGGTGGTGATTGTACGACCTTATGAATATACTAAAAACCACTGAAAATGTGCATTAACATGGGGGATTTTATGCTGTGTAAATTATAACGCAATAATAATTTTTTTAAGTGCATATTCCCGAGCCCCACCCCGCAGGAATTCCGAGGCAGTGAATCTGGAGATGGCCTGGGTCCGAAGGCATACTCAGTTCTGAATAACTACCTAGAAGTGACAGCATTGCAAGTTAGTACCTAGAGCTCTACTGGGAGAGGATTTGTTTCCCACCGACATTGTCAGGGCAGCACCTAGAAGTGGGGTCACATGACTTTGTTCTGTGAGCTATTGGTCTTCTGTCTACACAGACCTGCTACCCCCACCACCCACACAAGCAGGGGTTAAGAGAACTAAGTGCTCTGTTCTGTTACTTCACTTACTCCTCACAAAAGTAGGGGGTAAGTGCTACTATTCTCCCCATTTTATGGATAAGAAAATGGGCTCAGAGAACTTAAGTCATTCTGCCAGGGCCTCACAGCTGGGAAGGATTGAAGACAAGAGTCAAGCCCAAGCCCCTTGGTGTCCAGGGCCCCCGACAGCCTTCCCCTCTCCCCGCTTCATCTGGAGCCTTGGTCCTGGTGCCAGCCAGCTGTGCGACTTCGGACAAGCCCCTTCCCTTCTCTGGGCCTCGGTCTACTTACATACAAAGTAAGAGAGTTTGCTCGGATTTGGGGTTTCTGATGTAGATTCTCCAGGCTCCCTCACGTATTTAAAAGTGGACTGTTGTGTTATTTTAAATGTTTTCAAAAGGGAAACTACGTTTGCACAGATAACGTGACTGGGCTGACAAAAAACCAGTAGGTCTCTTGTTTGGGGCTGGAGTGACATCGACTCCGTCTTCTGTGTGTCCCGGCTGGCAGTCCTCTATGTGTCTTTGATGAATAAAAAATGTGAAAACAAATTAATTATTACTTAATACTTGCAGTATTTCTGGAAGGCAGAAACCTTGCAAACGGAGAGCCGGTGGCCTTGTTGATCTGTAAAGCTCCTTCCAGTTCTAACACGTCTAAAAGTGAAGCTATTGGCAGGACCTGGCCTGATTTCCAAATCCCCTCTAATGCAGGCCTCCTGAGGTCTGGCTCTTATTTGCAAGGCTGCTTTATCCTATTAACAGATTCAGCAGAGGTAGCAAGTCTCCAGCCACTCCCACTGTCCCCACGACAACCCTCGGTGATCTGAGCCCATCCCTCTTAATTTCTCACCTCATGAGCAGCGGAGGAGTTCCCCGCCATGGACTGCCTCTCACCATTGATAATTACTTTCCCACGTCATCCCTTGTAAATATTATTTAATATGCCCAGGGCGCCGTGACATGTTGGTTGGTTAGTCTCCAACTAATCAGACTCTGGCTTGACCAAAATGCCATCCTCTGCTGAAACAGGGGCTGGAGATGCTGGGTGAAAGCCTGGGTGAAGCCGTCACTGAGTCTCAGCAGCATCACATCTGCCAGATCTCAAACAGAATGGGGTGGGGACCCTGGGCTCCTGCCCCGGACTGGCCTCCCTGCTGAGGTGGGGGGGGTGGTGGGAGCCAGAAATAGTGTGAGTTGTTCCCTGCTGGGGGGGTAGGGGTGTGGCCCCAACCTGCCAGGCCTCCTGTCCTGCGTCCTCAGTCTGGTGCTCACCAGCCTCAACTCACTAGGTTTCTCTGGAGAACAGAGATCCTAGGGGCTGTGGGTTAAAATGTTTGGTGGGAGGAAGGTAGGAGAAGTAGGGGGCTTCTCAGTCCAATGTCAGATGACCTGTGTGAAAGAAACACAAGTCTGTCTTTCTTGGATCTTTGTCTCCTTCCCTCCCCAGATTTCTCCAAGTTTCCTGTGTCACCTCCAGACATTGCTACCTGGCTCAAGTCTGGACTCAACACTACCAAAGGGATGCTGATTGACAGATGGGTTACATTTCGGGGAGAGGGAGCTGTCACATGAGAAGCAGCTGGAGAAAAATGTGGGGCCCTCACTCAAGACAGGCTGGGAGAGCTGTCTTGAAGGAGGAGTTCTCTGCACCCTTCAGAGCGTGGAGTTGGGACCCACGGGAGAAGTTACAGGGAGGCGGCGGTGGGCTCTCTTCCTTCATCCGAACGGTACTTTCGGAGTGCTGCCCCGGTGAGCTTACGCTCATTTGAGGGGGAGGGGCAGACAACAGGCATAAGAAGTAGGTTACAGAGATTGTTAGTTGTAAGAAATGCTCTGGAAAAAACCAGAGCAGGATAAGGAACATTGAGAGTCCTGGCAGGGTAAGAGGAGATGTCGTGATTTAAATGGGGTGACATTTGAGCACAGATTTGAAGGTGAGCAAGGAGCCATGTGCGCATCTGCTGGAAGAGGGTTTCAGGCAGAAGGAACAGGGAATGCAAGGGCCCTGGGGCAGGAGCATGCCTGGTGTGTTCTAGGAACACCGGGGGTCATACGGTGAGGGTGCAGTGATCAAAGGAGAGGAAATCTGGGCAGCTACGAGGGATCAAACTGTCCAGGGCTTAGGGGCTGTTGTAAGAACATAGCATTTCACTCAGTGAGATGGGGATCCATTAGAGGGTTTTAAGCAGGGAGTGACGTGGTCTGACTTTTGTTTTAACCTGGATCACAAGCTGCTGCGTTGGACACAGACTGCAGGGGGATGGGCGGAAGCAGGGAGGCGGGGAGGGAGGCTAGAGCAGTAATCCAGATGACGGAGGGCACTGACTCAGGTCCCAGTGCTATCAGGTGTGCATGCTGGGCTGCATTCATGACTCGGGTGAAGGGTGCACTGGAGGCCTTCCAAGGGCTCTGCTAGCCCAATAACCCCTCACTTCTCCAAAGGCTCAGAATCTAGGCAGAATACCAACTCGTTGGGTCCCGATCCCCACACAAGTCCCCACTCTCCCGTCCCATCAGGGATCTGTAACTTGCTGTCACGCGGTGGTCTTGCGGCTCACAGAGAGCTGAGGGCATGTGAAACCCCCACTGGTCCTCATCTGTTCTGGTCAAGAATCATTCCTGCACCCACTTCCACCATGGCAGTTGTGCGGACTTCCTGATGATTTGTAGGACCTAGCACGTAGTGGGGGGCTTCCTTCTGGCTGCTAGGCGCTGTGTCAGGTCCTTACCTTATACGGGCGGAGCGCCAGCTCTTCAAGGAAGGCCTTATTCCTCATGGTACAGACGAGGAAGGCAAGGCTCAGAGGTGAGGCATGGGCCAGCACGTCTCGGAGCCAGAATTCTAGCCCGCCTGTATGAGTGCAGCGCTGCCCTCCACCTCCAAGCACTCCTTCATAAGGACAGTTACATAATCTGGGATAATGACCTGTGGATCCAAGGCTGCCAGCCTGACGACTTACGGCAGCAGCCCCAACCCCACTGACCCCTTGGTTCGTGACAGCTTCCTTGTATTGCCGCCCAGACCCTTTGTGTCCATGCTTGACCGACCCGGCTCGGGGGAGGTGGCACCTGGGTGTGGGAGGAGGGGGAGCAACATCCAGTCCAGGAGGAGGCTGCTTCTGCCCCTTCCGGACCACTGGGGCCACGGGGCGGGGGGCTGCTTAGTCTGGGGCGCACGTGAGCAGAGGCCCCTTGCACTCT